CGCGCTTTAAGTACTGTCTAGTTTAAATGTTCTAACATTCCAGGATTTGTGGCTGCGGCAACTGATTTTTTCAATCTGTCATAATGAACGCATTTTTTTAAATACTAGAAAGTGGGAATGTATGTTCATATATACATTTCGTACAACTTCCGTCACAGACGTGAGAATCTCATTTCGCCCATGACATCAAGGTGGAACGCGTACATGCAGGAAGTGTGACGTCATCTGTATGAGTGATCTCGCCGAGGCTTTTGACTTTTAATGCCAGAGGAATAAACAACAAAACAAGACAAGCAATGCAGACAAGCACGTAAACTTCGATTCCATTTCGCGGCACTCTCATATTGTTTAATCGTTAGGAAATTCAACTCCGTTTTCTGTCAGATGATACTCTCTCCCAGTAGAGAGCACTGACAGTCTATGCCAATTATGTTAACGTGTCAGTCTTTGAATGTTAAGAGTACGGCGGGGCATGTAGGGATACGTTATACAACTTAGTATGAGCGGCACGTGACACACCATTCGTTTATTGAGGGGCTTCATTCCTTAAGGGGAGGTCAAAATATTGTTCAGAATGAAACAGAGAATTAAGACTTAGTTATCTGTAATTACACATGTTTCTTATAGAGTCAGACATAACGAAACAAATTATCCCCCACTCCGAAAATTATAACCTTGCCACCCCGGATAAAATAATGGTACATCTTCATCAGCGATGGTACCGTTAGCAACACCGGCAGCCTACAAACTTGAAGTGGTCAGTGCCAACGTGTGTTAGCTTAGGTATTTCAATCAATTTCATGGCATAGCCTAGTGATGTTGTTTATATATCGTATCATCAGCGCCTTATCACGGTTACCACTCATCTGATCTGTGGGGCGCTGCACTCCAGTTGTGTTATTCGATGACCTTCTATCGCCGCGTGTTATCTAACTCGAAGTATTGCATAACAAACTGGCTAGAACGTGACTGCGTCAACTATTGCACGTGGGGCCATGCTGTGACCGCACATTTGACAACCATTAAAACACATTATCATGTTTCCTTCAAGCGCATGGGTTTTATTGTATGTTGTTTCTCAGATAACCCAGATAAAGAAAAACAAATGTCGACAAACTGACCGAACCGGTCAAATTTTAATGAAAATTATGATTTTAAACAATTTACCGTTGGATTATACAGAAAGATGGTTTGATATTATTAAAATATATTATAAGATGGTTACTTAATAAAACAAATGTAACGCTTTTCATGAAGACTCTCTAAATAAAAGTAGGTTCGGCTTAAAAAAAATCGGTGCAAAATGTCATGACCAAAATGTTTTTCTGTAATATTGATCGGTGAATGTCCGCAACCGACATTAAAGATGAGATAAGTGCATTGAATCATCGATGTCTATTCTATTTACAAAATTATGTGCTTGTCATCATTAAATAGACCAACAAATCAAACATATATGGGTTTTTGTGTTTCCGCTGATAATAAAACAATATTAATAACGTCGATTAATTCGAGTTGGGAATAAACTAACCGAGTTGCAAATGCAAACCGTTTTTATTTCAGCACTCACTATCCCGTCTTCTGAACCGCACGTTTTTTTTCTTTGCGAACAAACCCGTGGGTGATCGTACCTAGAATTCGTGTATTTGACCACGGTAAATTGTCAGCATATGATCGGAGGCATCTCTTTAGATGTGCCCTTTCCCAATATGGATCGTCCAGTGCAAAATATTGAAACCGTTGTTTTGACACATTTTGTCTGTTCACAGTTTTGATTCTAACGGCCTG